AGCACCCACCCGCATAAACTTGCGTCAGTTGCCAGAATGATCTCTTTCTCAGGATCATAATGTGCTAAGGCGAGATCTGAGAGTAGGCATTTTTTTTTTTCTGAAAAAGCCATCTACGCAATCTTTTGACCAAAACCATTTCTTGTCTTTTTTTCAACAATTCGTTAAGGGGGCTCTTAAATCATACATTTTAGGTATGTAGATTGCATAATATTGTGCCAACCCCAGAAATGATTGTAATTTTGTAACTGTGTCGGGTGCAGGCATGTTCTTAATTGCATCGGTTCTGTGGGTCCGGTTTCCTGCCTTCACTGTCTATCACCTGTCCGAGGTATGTAATTCTTTCCATGAAGAATTTACACTTCTCGTGGCTTATTTTAAAACCAAAATCTTCTAGTTTTTGAATATCGCTCTGATGTGCGTTTTTATGTTCTTGAACATTCTTACTTTTGACTAGAATGTCATCTAAATAGGCGGTACCAAACTCAAGGCCTGCCAGCATAGTGTCCATCACCTGTTGAAACAAAGCTGGGGCGACCTTTAAGCCGAAAGGAAGCCTATTCAGCTTATAAATACCTTTATATGTATTTATACACAAATATTTTGAGCATTCATCACTCACTTTAATCTGCAAGTATGCGTCAGACAGGTCGATTTTTTGAAAAAATCCCCCCCCATTCAATTTTGAAAAAATATCTTCTGGTGAAGGTAGTGGATAACTGATTTTTTTAAGGCAATCATTTAACCCTGTTGAAAAATCTGCGCATACTCTTATTTTTCCGTTTTTTTTCTTAAACTGTGGGCGAGGCCCAATCCGCATGGTCAACCTTAGATATCACTCCCATTTTTTCAAGCCTTTCCAATTCCTTATTAATTGTCTCTAACGAGGAAAAAGGAATGTTTCTCTTAGGTTTAAAAATTGGTTTCACATTTTCCTTGAGTTCAAATTTGACTTCCGTCTTAGTACATAAACCCAATCCTCAGAAAAAACTCTGGGATATTCTTTTTTTTAATTCATTCATGAATTTTTCATTTTTAATACTTTTTTGTTTTTCTGCACTGTTTATTACGTTGCAAAATGAGTTAATCGAGTTCAAACAAATCAAAAAGTACTATCTAGTCTATTCCAAAAGACATGAATTAATCCCTTGGATTACATACACTTTCGTTTTTGCAGTCTTGCCACATAACGAAATATTGCACTTTAATTCTCCCTTAAAGTTTAATTTCTTTCCTGAAACCCCTCTAGCGGTTTTTTTTTGTTTCAGATAATTTAGGTCTTCCAATATTTTTCCATGTTTGTTCATCAATGATACTTATGTCTGAACCAGAATCCAATAGGAAAGTAATTGTATGATTATTTATATGTACATCTACGTACTTTCTATTTTTTACCTTTCTGAATTTCTTTTTTCTGAAAATACCAGGCTTACATCTTGTAATTTCCTTTTCTTGTGGCAAACCGAATATTTATGCCCTTTATTTCCGCACGATTGACAGAATTTATTTTTGTACCAACACGTGTCTTTGGTATGGTTATTTTTTCCACACGTCTCACATTTTTCTATCTTTTTGGCTTTTGGAGTTTGAGTTTTTACGTGTCGAACATTAGCAACACATTTTTCCTCAATTTGTATATTATCCCTTTTTACGTTTATGAGACGTTGGCATTCTTCGGTCACCCTTTGTAATGTTATTTTTCGAGTCTTGCTCGACCATTATTAATATTCTCAACCTAATTTCTTTATATTTAGGATCAGTTAGTCCTTGAAGAAAAATTAGGCACTTGAATACATCTTTGGTTATTTCTTCTAACTTGAATTGTTCAACCAGAGAGTTCACTGTTCCCGCGTATGTCACAAAATCCTCGCTATCTGCTTTAACGATGTTTAGGCATCAGTATCGCGTGTGGAACAGACTATTCCTTTCGTCAAATATTTTTGACAGAATACTTATAGTTTCTTCAAACGAAACTTCTTCTGGTTTTCTGGGCAATATCAAGTTTGCGTACTTCGTATTCTCGTTTGTCCCTAGTTTCTGTCCATTATCGTGAATGGGGAAGTTGGGTTATCTCATCACAACAGTCCCCATATCAGATTAGTACAAAACATTGTTTAGGATGTAAGCCCTTTATGTTATTTTTTTGTTACAAGTCAATTTTAAATTTTAAATCTTTCTGACAAGATTTTGATATTAAAGATATTTTGATAAGAAATTTATGAAGTTTTTGATTTTGAGTAAAAATAGATACATACAATAACTGTTTTTTATTACGCATAGATTGATACAATAATTGAAAATACTGTATAAAATATGTGTAACAAGACATAAAATATAAAGTTTAAAACATTGTCCAAAAACAGAACTGTGATGATGCCCCCAGACTTGGTATAAGCCACTTTTAAGACCTCAGCCACAGCACCTAACAAAGAACAAAGCCCAAGCACTACGCATGTTTTTGCATGGAACTGTTTTCACATAAAAGGATTTACTAAAGAAAGCTTTTCCAAGAAATGTCTTCTTTAGTAAATCCTTAACAAAGAGACTATTATAAACTACTTTAGTGTTTGCAGTTATTCTGTAAGAGTTGTAATTCATTCACTAGGGGAGTTTTATGAATCTAACACCTAGATCTAAAACTATCTAGAGTAGGAAAATTTTATGGAATTAATTATATTTTTAAGGAACTGAGCTTCCCTTTTTGGTACCTAGACATCATGGATTTAAGTGCAGTACTAGATTGGCAGCTTGGTCTCATTTTTTACTGTTGAAATAGCTGGATATAGCCATAAGTTCTATGCTAATAATTTCTTGTCTCAAACTTTCCAACTGTGGAACTCTCTTCCAATTTCCTGCTTCCCTATCAACTATGATGTTAAAAATTTAAATGTAATGTCAATAATCATCATCAGTCTTTTTGAATCCTGTTCTTTTATTGTCCTTTCTTCTCAGACTCTTTCACACTCAGTAATTCCTTGCGTCTTAGTAGCTTTATTGCCTTACTTGGGGTAAAATGATTAAAAAAAAATTAAAGAATTATTAGTTAAAACTTAGTAATTCAGCCAAAAAAGATGAGAATGCTAGTCCAAATTACACATGGAATAATAATAACGATTCAAAACCAGTGGTTCTCAAATGTTGTCTAATAACCCAACCTTGACTTCCAGTCCAGACCATTAATGTTCCATTTTCATACACATATATGAAGACACTTCTTTATATTAGGTATACTGCAAATTCAAAGCAACACCAAATATAATATTGTAAACACATATATGCATTTTACAAAAAATAACTTAACCAAGTACAGTGAGCCCTGCCTATTTGTGTTTCAGCATTCGTGGCTTCACATATTCATGGATTTTTCTTTAGAACATATGTACTTGTTATTTGCAGAAACCCTGAATATTCATGTTTTTACTGAAGAAGATATGTACGAATTATTCGCTGAAAACTCTCTCAATTCATGCATTTTTTCAATAGAACATATTTAAAATATTCTTGTATTATTTTCCTGTTAAGTGACTTAAAACATATTGCAGTCCATTTTTATGGTAAAAATTGGTAGAATTGTACATCTTCATTGTAAAAATCAAATGTGAAAACATGCATAGTGCTTGGGCGTTGTTCTTTGTTAGGTGCTGTGGCTCGGGTTTTAAAAGTGGTTTATACCAAGTCTGGGGGCATCATCACAGTTCTGTTTTTGGAAAATGTTTTAAACTTTATATTTTATGTCTTGTTACACATATTTTATACAGTATTTTCAATTATTGTATCAATCTATGTGTAATAAAAACAGTTATTGTATGTATGAACAATGATTTATACTATGTGTATGATCACCGATAGTATTTTTCAAAAATGTTTTAAAAAGGGTCTGAAATATTTCTAAAGAGTTTAGGATGAAAGTTTAATGCATATGGGGTTTTAACAATTAAAATAGGTACTTATTAGCACTTTTAGTGGGGGGGGGTTACAAGTATTCACAGATTCTAACTATTCGTGGCTGGTTCAGGTCCTTAACCTCACTGTAAACCAATTTATTTCATTGTTTAAGTAACATGAAAGGACAAATTCATCTTCTAATGGGATGGATGTATTTGGTGTATAGATATCAGCTTCTCAGTATCAGTCTGGAAGGAGCCATGAAGGAGTCTTAGATTCCTATATTCAGTAACTGTCAGTCTATTTCTTTTCTTGGAATAAAGCTGGATTATGCCAGTTACATCGTTTGGACTGTTGTCATCTTTATTGCTATATTCACAATGTTTCAGCTCCAACCTACTTCAGGTGATATACATTTCAGACCAAACCCTTTATTTAATCCACAGGGGTAGATTGTTGTAGTTCTATGTGCAATGCCTTTTTTTGGTGATGTATCAGTTAATTCCCTTTAATAACTTAGCTCTCCAAGTTTTTGTTCCCTCTGCTGTAGCCAGGTATTGAACTCACAACTCTTTGAGTCAAGTTGCCTTTTGGATTACTCAGCTGATGCTTTTATCCACTGGGCCATTTGTCCTTGCCAAAGGGAATTAACTGATATTGAGATATCCCAAAAAAGACATGGTGCATGAAATTAGAAGAATCTACTCCCATGGGCTAAATAAAGGGTTTGGTTCAAAATTCCAATGTATATCAGCTGAAAAAGGTTGGGGTGTACAACAGTCGAAACATTGTTAATATGGCAATAAAGATGAGGACAATAGTCTGAATGATGTAAATAGTTACAATATCTAATCTCAGAAATATAAATAAATATTAAAGCTAGATCACTACATTGAAACCCTACTAAATATGTTAAAAGAAAAAATATTATTTAGTTATAATCCGCCACTCCCTGCTGATACCTACAACTACTGACTTTTTTCAAACTGCACCCTTACTATTTTTCCCCATTTTGGTAATCCCAGTTTCAGGTTATGAAGAAAGCTGAAGGATTCATTAACCAAAAGAAACCTAAAAAGGATAACAATATTAATCTGAAAATTTTTTCTCTACAGTGCCATGAAAGGCCATCTTCATTCGCATCAACTAAGCTAGTTAATGCTGAGCAAGTTGAGCACCTAATCAAAGATGTAATCTTGAGCCACTGGAAACTGATTCAGAAAAAATGCAGATTGGAAGACCCTGATTGTACAGGTTGCATAAAGCCAGAAAAATTTAAAGGTTTGGAAATATTCTTTTTGAACTGAAATTAGTCACATAATATGTTCAATTGTTTAAAAAATTATAGCTATATAATCATTTCTTTCTGTTAACTGGCTACTTCATTATTTTGTTTGTCTATATAATGTGCATAAATTTATATCATGGAAATTAATTAAATATCACAATAAAATATCACATTTATATCAATATTGCTGATGTTTAATAACCATGGATTTAAATTATTTTTGAATATTTCTTTATTCTTGCTAAAACTTATAGCATAAACTGACTTAAATGTGAATCATAAGAGAAAAGGCTTTATATATATTTCCAAAAGTTTATAAAATTAGTATGTTAAAATATACAAGTGAAGTTATTGTCTTTAGTGTTGTTGCTTTTATACATTTCAGTCAATTCTTCATTTTTTTTATCTCTAGTGTTTTTCTTTTTATATATTTTTTAATTATATTTGTCAAACATTTTTCAGAAATTATTTTTTGTTATTTGAAAAATATCAAATCTGTATTGTTCTCTTGAATTATGATTAAACTAGCAGGAATACCCCACATTGTCTGGGGAAAAAGGACTTCCAATACAACATAAGAGAAAAAATATATTCTTTCATGTTTCTTATGTAAAAAAAAAAAAATGAAAACAAAAAATTACACTATTTACATTGTTTGGACTCTTGTCCTCATCTTTACTGTCAGATTCACAATGTTTTGGCTCTTATATGCTCCAGCTTTTCAGTTGATAAAACTGTTGGTTGATTAATCCAAAAAGTGACTTAACTCAAAGAGTTGTGAGTTTGATCCTTGGCCTCTGTTGAGAGAAAAAAAATCTTAGAGGCTTATTAAGGCAAATTAACTCAAACAGTTATCCAAAGGCATGACACGTGGAATTAGATCAATCTACCCCTGTGGACTAAATAAAGTGTTCTGTTTGAAAAGGCTGGAGCATACAATGATTGAAACATTGTGAATGTGATATCAAAGATGAGGATAGCAGTCCGAAGAATGTAAATAGTTACAATACCTCTTCTCAGAAAAAAAATTACATTATTTACATGTGAAAGAAAATATAACTGCTATTGAAATATATTCTGATACACAAATCAAAACAAATGACTGATTGACAGGGCTTCTTGGTGTTCAATAGTAGTGGTTCTCCTATTTTAAGTCAGTATACAAAGATTGTTTGAAGATCCAACCCTAAAGCAACCAATATATGGCTGGTTATTGGTAAAGCACTTCTTTACACTTATACTATAAAATTCAAAATCTAACTTATGATGACTTAAATCTGTAGCTACTAGATGCCCCTTTTTACCATACGGAAAGCTCCCATTCACCAAACCCTTTAGATTTCGTAATAATAGAATGGAACTTTCTAGAAGTCTCTAGAAACTTCTACTGGGTTCTAGAGGGTTCAAAAAACATATAAAAACAGGAGTTCGTACAAATTAGCCAGTTGCCTCATGAACCTAAAGCCATGATTATTGAGGTCAACTCTAGCCCTTTCGATTCAAGAACAAAGCTTCGACTGAAAGAATCTAAATTTCTATAGTCCTTGAAAAGAAATGGCTATTGATATTATTACCCAAACTCTTATTTTGTATATATCCTGAATTAATCAAACTATTTTTAAGAAGAAAATAATATAATTCCTGGACTAGCAATGAATTCCTATCCGTCCCCTTAATCTTAACTACAGTGGATTTCCGCTCCCACTTCCTTGTATAGTTACATGTTAAACCAACTACTTTCTGGGCTCTTGCATGCTTAGTAACTTGTTAGCATTTCCTATCTTATATTGTTTAAACCTCAGCACTATTGTTCTAAAATATCTTGTATTATATGTAAAATAAAATCCGCATTTCATTACTAGATGTAATCTCTTTTCTTCAACCTTAATTTCTATGAATCTGGTTCTTCTTATTTTATGTTGTGTTAGCGGTTAACAATAGAGACTTTAGATTCAGGTCAGAAGTCTTGAATATTAATCCCGAGCCTTGTTGATGGTTATAACAAATCTGAATCCCACTGGGAATTGAAATTATTTTGTTTCAAAGTGCAAGTCTGTTGGAATTATGAAGATATTGGGAACACATTCTCTTTTTTGCCTATACTATTTAGAATAGTTACTTTGATGTGAGAAAAGCTGCTAGAGAGCTGGGCAAGTTTCAGTGCACCACTTGACAGGATATTGAAAAATATTACTTTTGTATAAGATTATGTGAAAAATATATTCATTTACAGCTGATGTCTGTTAGCTTTCAACTCAAAGATCAAGTAGTACTGAGCTTTCTTTCTCATATGTAATGAAAAGCAGCATTGAGCATCTCATAGGATAGGTGATAATTAAAAATAAAGAAATTACAAAACCTGATATTACTCACAATGCTAGAAGTACATTCCATACATTAAAACACTGTCAAGTGACAAGGTCTGATATTAGCCACAATACCAGAAGTAGATTCCATACATTAAAACACTATCAAATGACAAACAACACTCTAGTATAAGTACAAAATTCACATTAACAACAAAGCAATATCAACTGCATTTATCTGTTTTTTATTTGCAGAAATTTTGCTTCACTACATGAAAAACCTTGAAGATGAAAAATTTACCAAACTGAAAGAGAAATTTGACATCAAGGGGGATGGAACTATTGCATACAAGGATCTGATCCGTTATTTTGTTTTGGGTCTAAAGCCAACTCGGATAGCTCATGGTCAGCGTAGGTTACTAAGAAAACCTGAAAAGGATGAGGTAAGAAAACAATATATAAAACTTTTTTTTTAAACAAAGTCACATTACAATTCAGAGAATCCATTTAAGTTACTATGTGTTTTTATTTTTATTCTTTTCTAATTTTAATTTCTTGGTCAATTTTTCTTTTCATAGCTGAGAAAATAGTCTTTACACTTTTTTGTAGACTTTATATAACAAATCAGGACAGACGAGACATGGCTAATGTGTGAAATTTAAAAGTAGCTAATGAACAACATGCATACAACATAACTTGATAATAACATTTAAAACAACAAACCAGACAGACTATAAATCCTCTTGTTTCATTTTAGGCCAGAAACATCAATAATTTCAAAGTATAATTTCATCTTTTCAGAAAATGTGAACATTCTATAATTATAAGCTTTTTCTCCCAAAAGAACACTGAACTATTTTATAGACATTATCATCAGCAGCCATTGTGAGTTCATTCTTGGATAAAGGTCTTTCTCAATTCTTGCCTTAACTGTGTTATTCTCTGACATGTCATAATAGAAAATGCCTCTTATCTCATATCTCCCATCTTTTGTCTGGTCTTTTCCTATTGTTTTTATCCATTGAGAACTAATCAACTAGCTTTTGTTCCATCTGTTACCCTCTTCTTGCTATGTGTACTGCCCATCTTCATTTTTGTCACTTCTATAATATCTTTTATCTTAGTCTGTTTTATGATCCATATTGTTAACCTCTTTTTATCTCTTAAAGTTATCCTTAGCATTGATTTTTTGATAGCAATAACAAACAGACTTGTTGATGACACTTTTTGTGGGTTTGAGAGTGATGAGCACTCAGAGGTTTTTCATGGATTGTAAAATCAATTACACCTGGTGTTAATGTTTACTTGTGAAAAGGGTAACAATGCAGTTCTGCCTTTTCTGCATGTGTTGGTGCACAGATACAGTGGAAGATTTCCACAAAGGTTTAACACAGCTATTTTCTTGCCACTTTCTTTCATTGCACTTCTACATAGAGTTACCAACTGTCCTTTATTGGAAAGGGCAGTTTTTTATTTCTTTCTGTTTTTGTCCTTTTGTTGAATTTTATTGTGTACATACAGGAATTGAATTAAAAAAATACTATTTCTATCTTTATATTCTTTATTATAACTTTACAGAATTTGCAACTTTACATTTCCAAATTAGAATGTTTATATTTCTTTTCTTTTTTTTTTCTTGTCTTTCCTGGTAGCTTTTCTTTAAGAAATATTGTTGTTTGTTAAAAAAAATAGAAAACATTGTAATAACTTTTGTTTCTTATAAAAAGTTGGTGACTAACCAATATTGGAATAAGCCACAAGTATTTAGTGACTGACGTAATGGAATAACCTGTCACCCACCCTGAGTAACTATCTATAAGTATCTGTAATTCAATGGACTAGAGAGGCTAGCTGGAATTTGTTCCAGCTAAACAGTCAAACTCTCTGCCTCTGAGCAGAGAGGAACCCGGACAAGGCTCCGTCAAAGGGCAGAGGGTTCAAAAAGGGAATATTTTTGGCCAAGCCTACGGGCTCGGAGAACCCACATTAAACCGGCCTTGTGCCACATGCAACTTTCATAGGAGGGTAGCTAAATATATTAACTGGTATCTGTTACTCAGCTCGTAGCTGCTGTCAAACTCTCTGCCTTTGTGCAGAGAGGAACCCGGACAAGGCTATGCTGAAGGGCAGAGTCTTGTCCAGGGAGGTAGACAGACCTAAACCCGTTTATGCAGTGTTTACGGGGATTTTTTGGCAAGCCTATGGGCTCGGATGCCCCACATTAAATTCAGCCTTGTGCCACATCTAACCACGTGGGGAGGTTAGTAGATATACTAGCTGGGATCTGTTGAATACGACTCAGACTTACGCAAGAACTACTAACCTTCCAATAGTAGCACTCACTACTGGATTGACTTGCAACGAACTTGTGCATAACTGTTACCTTTGTTCTTATTGTACTGGTTTTTACAATAAACCATTACTTCAAGTATATATTCCTATTAGCACAGAATATAACAGTGACTTAAACCATTGTGCTAGTTTACAAACAGGCCAACTTAAATATTCTCTTTAAATATTCGATGGATGTATGGATAGTTTATTTTCATGGAAAGTGAAATCAGTGAACCAAGTCAGTTCTGTGTTGTTCACTTTGCACTAATGTCCTTGAAGAAGGCATGAATCCATCTTCTTCCTCCTCTTATAGGTTAAATAACAGTGTGGATTGGGTTCTCATGCCTTGTGCAACAACCAGTTTAGGAAAAAGAAAAAAGGAATTCAAAACCAGCTGTTTTTATCACTGTTGATTTTAAATATCCCACATTGTAATAACAATGGTTTTGTTAAGATGGGTGGTGATATGCTGTATTCTTTTAAAGTGCAAAACATGTTAACTAGGATTTTTTTTAATTTTGACATTCATTTATCTGACTTTATTCTGATATATCAAATTTATATATCATATTCCCTTATATATACATACATATACTAAAGAGAGAGAAAATATAAGGCAGAAAGAAAGAGCTATTAAAAGAGAGAAAGTGAGTTATAGGGAGAGAGAGATAGAAAGTGAGGATTATTAGTTGAGAGTGTTGCTAAAAGAGAAAGAGTTACTAGGAAAGGGAGAATTACTAGAAGAGATAAAGAAAGAAAAAAGGAGTTGCTCTAGATTTACTAAAAGTGAGAATGATTGCTTCATTCATTTTTTTATGGTTTATCAACCATTTACAGGTTATTTAAAGATGGCAATTTTTTTTTTTTTTTGAGATAATAATGGTTCAGTGATACTGATTCTTACTAATTAACCCATAGCTGGGGAGCAGAAGCGGCGTATTCATGCCTTTCCCAAGCTTATTTGCATGTAAGGGAATATAATGAAACCAATGGGAATTAGCATTTGGTTCTCCAATTAACAATTACAATCTATTATCCATCATACCACCTGCACATCAAAGATTACACCAAGATATTTAATAGGATACCAACACAAAAAACTGCTTGAAATATTAGAAAAGCATGATTTACATGGGAAAGATGTCAGGGCAATCTGTAACCTCTACTGGGAATAAACAGCTTACATACAGATAGAAAACAAATATAATGAATACATAAAAATAGAAAGAATAGTATGGCAAGGATGTATTTTTTCACTAGATTTCTTGAACTTATAGAGTAAGATGATCTAAAGAAAGAGAACTAGAAGACCTACCAAGATTTATCATTGGCTGTCATAATCTTAACAATGCAAGATATGCAAATGACAATGTATTGATGGCAGAATCAGAACAAAGTAATCAAGGGAAGCAAGTAAAAAGAGAGAATACATTGTTTTCAGCAAAGAAGATAGCTCAAGTTGTGACCTATATAATGGAGACATTGAAATCAAGCAGGTAAAGAAATTTACTATGTAGGTAGGCAGACCTGGTGCAAGGGTCTCGTGCCTACAGAGCTCTCCACACTACTCAATTTTCATACATTATTATTCATATAAAATATAAATTTTATTGTAACCTAATTATGTACAATAATGAATCATATGCAATACCTGCCTTACCCATAATTATAATGGATGGTGAAAAAAACAGGGAATTGTGGGTAGAAAAGTGGCTATATGAGTCAACAAGAAATCAGTTGGTGGACAGTCGATCAAGTATCCAGCCACTTGATGGATGGACGGACAGACGAGGCATGGTGAAAGAGGATGAATGAAGGAAAGCAAGAAAAATAAATTGTTTTACTCCTTAAAACTACAAACTATTTCGGCTACCATGCATGGGGAAATTACACTTAAACACTGATATAATGAAGCCTTTCAGTGGAGAGGGAGATTTAACTGCCTAGTTGGCAAAGGTGAAATTGGTTACATGGTTGCAAAAGATCCCCGAGCTTGAAAGTTTTATTCCCTTGTTTCTGGAGGGGAACAATTTAGCTCGCTATCTGTAATTGAGTGAGGGTGATCAGAAGGATGCAGAAAGAATAGAGATGCACTGAAGAAGGGAGGACCATTTGTTGCACATGGAATACTGAGACAAATTAGATAGATTGGAGAATCGGTAGACGCGTACACTACCAACATCAAGCAATTTGGAATGTTGCACCAAAAGTCATGGCAACTATACTTAAGACAGTGCTAGATGGATAGCACAAAAAATACCACAGATTCATATATTGATAGCATTTTTGTGGACGAGACAGCAGTACCCAGGCAAAGAGTCGTGGAGCACCTTGGCAAGTTTGGCTTGATAACAAAGCTCCTAGAATCACTGGAGGGCAGGACAGCCTTAGGCCTCTAATTACATAAAGATATGACAAGAGATTTGACATTCAAAAGAGGAAATAAGATTCCAGAGGTTGGAATATGCAGGAGCAAATGTGAGCTGTTTTCAATCTGCAGGAAACTGATTGATCATTACTCTATTGCTGGATGTCTTAGGGCGACGTGCAGCTATATAAAAAGGAGGGCTGAGGAAGTGAACTGGGAAGATGAAGTTGATGATAAGACAGTTACTGGGATGAGAGAAATTGCAAAAGAGGTGAGACAACAGGACCCAGTTTGAGGGAAGTGGCATATTCCAAAGTCAACAAAGGGAATATTATAGTGAGATGCAAGCAGTATCACTATGAGTGTGAATGTAAAAACTGACAGCATCATAGTTGAAGATACAGCTTGGCTGAGAAAGAAGACTGATTATGACTATATCAATGTGGCAGAGTTGGATGCCACGATAAAGGGAGTTAATCTGGCTTTGAAATGGAGTCTAAAAGACATGGAAATCAGGAGGGATTTGACCACTGTTCTTAGCTGGATAGGTTCAGTAATTACAGAAAAAAAGAAGGTCCAGACAAAGGGTGCTGTGGAAATGGTTATCCGGTGACAGTTAGGGTTACTGAGAGAGTTCATAACCAAATTTGAACCGAATTTATGTGCAAATTGTGTGCCTTCAGACCTTAATAAAGAAAAACTGGATGAAAGGCAAAGAGGGTACAACTTCAGTATGCTGTTTAGGGTATGAGGACTTGAAGTAGTTGCATTGTCTGTATCACATGGGGGTCAAGAGAATATTGTACCTGGTTCGTAAGATTGACCTGGATGTCACAAAAATAGCTATGCAGAAGGTAGTCAAGCTGTGCACTCAGTGTCATTCGAGTAACCCTTCATCGAACACATATGACCCAGGGGAGATCCAGGTGACCACCAAATGGATGAGACAGGCTATAGATGTGATGCACTATAGAAGAAAGTTGTACTTGATGATGGTTGACCGTGGTCTTGGATGGATTGTGATTTGGAAAGAGGTCAGACCAGAAATTGCAATTATCATTGTGGAAGTGCTCAATGAGATCTTTTTAAAGTGAGGACCAGTGGAGGAAGTCTTGTTGGACAATAGTGCAGCATTTTTCTCAGAAACTCTTTGAGCAATATATGATAGGTAGAATCTCAGGTGCAGTGGAAACTACTGAATGATAAAGGCCATTGCTGAAAGGGGAAAAACGTCACCTACCAAAGCATTGTTTTGGTATAATATGTCACCTAAGTCTGGACAAAAAGAGGAAACAGTGCCACAAAAGGCTATATTTACGTACACTTGGAAAAATTGAAGAGTTATGCCAGGGTAGAGTCATCAAATAATGTATCAGTGACTGTTACCCTGAAAATATCCTGGATTTGAGACCTGTTATAGGCTCATCAGAAAATTAGGAATGATCTGAACTGCTAGAGCACAAGCCCCAAGTTGAACCAGTGCAAAGATCACAAAGAGAGAGTTGTTGGGCTTGTGACTACATAATAAGAAAGTGATCCATGTGATGGGGGGGCATGTAAAAGAATTGTTTTCATAATGGATGCTACTTGTCTTACCCATAATTATAATGGATGGTGAAAAAAACAGAGAATTATGGGTAGAAAGTGGCTATATGAGTAAAAAAAAAATCAGTTGGAGAAAAAGGTTTGATCAAGTGTCAAGCAACTTGATGGATGGACAGATGGATGAGTGAAGCACAATGAAAGAGGAAGAATGAAGATAAGCAAGAAGTTTTGCTCCCTAAATCTACACAAAGCACTGCCCAGGGCCCCTAAACAGGCTTCAGGAGTAGTATACACTGGCCCTGTGGATAGTGTAGTAACAGATGACAGAAAGTTTGATACAGAAATCCAAAAATCTAATAGGAATACCAAAAGTGCTTTTCAGAAACTATGCAAAGTATTAAGAAATAGGAAAAGATCATTAGAAACAAAGAAAAAAGTTCTGAACTGTTGTATGTCAGATAAAGAAGAGACTTGAAGGACAAATGCTAAAAATCTCATGGACAAAGTGTGCGAATGACAAAAATGAATTATGGAAAATACAAACAACAAGGAAACTACTGTGGACAATAAGAAAGGAACAGATGAAATTTCAGGAACACACAATAAAGATAAAAGGTGGACACTTCAATGTGGTGTAATGGTTAGCAAGCTTGTCTTGCTAGATCAATTATGACTGAGTAATGAGTTCTTTAGGCCTTGTGCCACATCTACGATAATCTTAGAAAATCACCATAATAAGGAAAGAAGGTTTGAAGAATTTAATACTCACAGGACAATACTGAAGGCAAGACAAGCAGAGGATGATGATGAATAACCTACTTAATGTGTTTGAATGGATGGCAGAACAAGAACAAAGGTGGCCAATACAGATTCAAATTGATACATTTTTGAATTGATCCAAGCATTTCTGTCTAATCGTGAAATTAAAGTTATCCTGAATGGCCATTTGTCTAGATCCTTTCATACTAATGCAGGTGTCCCCCATGACTCCATCTTTGGTTCTACTTTATTTTTAATTTTCATTAATGACCATCCCAATGGCATCATCACTCAACTTGGTATCTACGCTGATGACACAACCATTTACTCCCATCTCCATGGTAGGGCTGATCAGTTCGATGAGGTCAAAATGGTAGCCAGTCCAAAACGACCTCAAGTCCATGGGGTATGTTAATTTTAATGCCTCCAAAACTAAACTTCTCTCCATAAATCATCTGAGAGACCCCTCTTTCTGAAGCTAGCATTCTCAGCTAACATGAAGTGGAAAGACTATATTGAATCCATTGCTAGGTCAGTTGCTAAGAAAGTTGGTTCACTGTGTTGTGCTAGGCAATTTTTCTCTCCAGAATCTATCATACTTATCTATGTCTACAATTCATTTATGCTTAGAATATTGCTGCCACATACGGTTTGATACTCCTGCTATTTACCTTAAGCTCCTTGATAAAATCCAAAGAAGAATCAGCAATATTATTGGTCCTGATCTAGCAGCTTGGCTTCAGTCACTTTCCCACCACTGTAAGGTTGCCTCTCCATGCCTTTTCTATAAATACTTTCATGGTAATTGTTTGGATAAGTTCTTCCCTAAAGTACTTAAACTTTTTGAATTTAAGCACACTACTAGACTGGCATCAAGATCTCATCAATTTACAGTTGAAATGACTAGATGTAGACATAAATTCTATGTTAACAGTTTCTTTTCTCACACTTCTTGCTTGTGAAATTCCCTTCCAGCTCCATGCTTTCCAGTTAGTTAATCTCTAAAAATTTAAATGCAATGTCAATCACTATCTACTGTTCTCCTGATAACACTTTTGTTCTTGCTACTTAGTAATGTTTTTGTTCCTAATTGTCTCACACACAGTAAGTCCTTGTGTCTTAGTGGCTTTACTGCCTTGCATGGGGCGATACCTATAAATCTGAGATATTTGTCAGTTTAGATATCATTATTCTGGGATCATATCCCTTTGCAGAAACCATCAGAATGCATGTCGTCATGGAAGATGTGGAATAACAAAGATACCATGCTGTACAAAAGGTGCATGAATAAAATATAACCACATTGAAAATCAAAACTAGACATTGAAACTGAGCTGCATTGGAGAAAGAAAATCTGTGATACATAGCAAATAAGTAGTGATATGGTGATGTTAAATGTTGATGAAATTGGTGCAGATCCTAGAGTAAGCATGAGGCACCAACTACTTATCAAAATGATTTCTTTTGAAGATTTAGAGAATTTTGAAAAAGATATATGTATATATGAGGAAGTGCTGATAGGTTCTTGGTCTGTAAAAGAGAATATTCCCCCAAAATATGTTGTATAGTGATTGGTCAAAGTTCTTGGTTTGAATCATTTCCCAAAATCTGACCAAACATGAGAATTTGGGGAGGAATTGCATCTTGTATGTAGCCCAGTATTTTTCAGCCTCCCACTTATATATATATTTGTTTTTTACTAAAGTTCACTCAATACAATGGGAATAGATTTGATTCAACCTTATGGATGTAGTAAGGTAGGTCTTACCTATAAATGGTCTAAGCTGGTAGTACTAAAGAATGGAGCTCATTGTAACATTTGCCATAGATTAGTGATGTTGCATCTGTGGGAAAGGTTATGTAGAGTGGAAAATCAGTCACCCCCACAAGGCAGTGTAAGCATTTTTGACCTCTGTCAATGATAGAAAATGAGGATATGGCAGTAATACAGCTTGTCCTCAACTTACAACCTATGTGACTTATGACTGTTTGACTTTATGACCATGACTGCAAATTGATATGTCTGTCCATGATTGTTGTACATCTGGTAGCATGAGTGTTTCCTGTGTACAACAATTTCCACCCCTGCATCCAGCAGTGTTAGCATTCCATCATGTGCCTCAAGCTCAGTATTAGGATAGCCTCGGTCTGTTTATATCTTTGAAATTTTTCTTCAAAATCATTGACAATCCACAACCAAGCACCAGTGGCTAATAAGATGTTTTGTATTTGTATGTGTTTTGGTATGTTTTACAACTAAAATGTTTTCTGTTTTTTGCACCTATATTTTGTTTTTTTGTGTACAGAAAATATTAAACCAACTGTGCTGTAGTATGCAGTGTTTGACTTAAATCTGTCGAATGTAAAAATAAGTAACAAGACAATGTACTGAGATTTGATACAAAAATAATAAAGAAGCAGTAAAAATTATAAAAAATATAAAAATATCTAAAGAATGATAAAATGATTTCAAGATTAATTACAGATCATTTTACAACCTGCTGGTTGTAATCAATTGTGGTCATAAGTCAATGTCGACCTGTACTCTGTTCGGTCATGTAAAGGAAAAGCATGGCAGAATTGAGTACATTCTCAAGTGGTACAAGGAGCTGAACTTTAGCAATGGATTGTTTATATGAGTTCCACTTGAGATCTGAGATGAACTTGAGTTTCAATAGACATTCAAAGTAAGGAACCCGATAACCTGTACTTTTTCCTTCCTTTGTCTTTCACTTAGAAAAAAAGATACCTCAACACTTTGTTGTCACTATCAGATGAACCATATTTTGACTCAACGTTACCTTTGTTGCAAACTTCCGTAATGTTGACTGGTGTTCTCCCTTGCTGCAGACTAAATTAAATGGAGTTTCTGCCTTCCTAACAACTCTCACCAAAAACCATCTACTGACTGATGGTTCTCTCACTGTAAACTGCTTTCTTCCACTCAGTCTCCAGGATTTTACTTTTAAAACACAATGTTCATTTTCTCTCATTACCAGGACTTATTAATTACAATTTAACTATTGTTATAAGGGCATAATGTTGATGACAATATCACCACTTCAATGGTAATCAAAACATATTTATACTAATTCATACTTTTGATGTTTGTATATACATTTGCTTTTCAGTTTGACACTGTGCCCACTGAAGGTTTGCTTGGTGAGGCCTTGAAAAGACTGCGTCAGTGTGTTATCAGGAACTGGAGGCTGATGCGACGATCATTTCAAGTTGCTGACCCATCTAAGAGTGACCGTGTGGATATAATAACCTTCCGACAAATTCTCAAGGCCCAAAATGTGAATCTTACCGAGGAAGAATTTTTTCAGATTATGTCCTTTTATGACAAAGATTTCTCGGCGTCTATTAACTATAATTCATTTTTAAGAGCATTTCTACAAAACTGGTGATTTCAAAGAATTCACAAGATTATTCTGTATTTATCATATAAAATTAATACAAGATCTATACTTTCCAAATATTGACTGAAGTTTTTACATTTTTTAACTTTTAATGTATTTTTTTAGACCATACTAATATTTATTTGCTTCAATATCACTTTCAGCAGCCTCCATTCAGTCACTTGATATTTATAGAGTTTATATTATTTGAAAATATTAATTATTACTAACTTAAATTATTATTATAGTAGTCTCATTGGTATGTCACTATGGCTGATGGAGGAAAGTGCAGATAGGGAAAGGAGCCTTTCTTGCTTATTCATACCATTTTTTTTATTAAGACAAAAGAGGAAACAACTTTGTAATTAGCAGTTAATAGACTTGAAATTATCTTTCTTGTACAGACTTTTTTCTTTTTAAATTTACATTCAATTAAAATTACTTGGAAAGTGGTGACCTAGTTTAATTGGAAATTGATTTATTCTTCACATTAGAGGATTTTAATGGCATTGCACTAACAAAAATTATGCTATGATACACTGGAACAAACACAGAAATTGGATCATAGATGAAATCTAGAAATTAAATATGCTGAAATTTTGTAAAAATGTATATTTTATTAGGATGTATCCAAAATTTTTTATTTTGCTGTAGACTTTTACTCTGCAACTTATTGCAGGTACACATATAATGATTGTCTCTGACTCATTATCATATTATATCATTATCAACAGTTGCATTTTAAAATCTCATTTTTAACAATTTATAGTCATCCACTTCTGCCCTTTATTTTAAGTGCTAAATTATCACCTTGAAAATGTTTAAACCAGCTTTGGTCAACATGATGATCAGATATTGTTAATTACTTCCCACTTCTCAAAGTCTGTTGTAACTTCAGTGGTTTTCAGAGTTAATTTAAAATAATACCTTAGGATTGCCAGAATTATTTATATTTGCTATTATAATAGTTGAAATAAAATGGAGAATTGAATTGTATTAATAATGATGATATATACACAGTGTGTCTGAAAAGTACTGAAGCATCTTGTGAAAGGTTGAGGTGAGAGTGTAAATTTTACCTCATAAAAATATATAATATATCCACAAAGAAAAAGGAAAGGAAAAGAAGATAGCAGATAAACAGATAAAATGCAAATACAACATTTTTATAATCAAGAAATTGTTGAAGTGATTTTTACAAACTTTCTTTTTTTTTTTTTTTTTTTTAGTTAAGTTTCTTCTTCTGAAGAGAGTTTTTGTATGAAATGAAATAGAAGAGACATAGGAAGGTTGCTTAATACTTCAACTCAGAATTTTACTCTGTCACTCGAACTGGCTACTTGATTTATCTTATAAAATTAATACAAGATCTGTACTTTCCAAATATTGACTGAAGGTTTTACATTTTTTAAGTTACTTTTAATGTATTTCTTTAGACCATACTAATATTTATTTGCTTCAATATCACTTTCAGCAGCCTCCATTCAGTCACTTGATATTTATAGAATTTATATTATTTGCAAATACAGTATAACCCGTATATAAGAGAGTTGTCGAGACCAGAGAAGAAGTCTCTTATATCCGGGTTTCTCTTATATCCGGATTTGTATATACATTAACACAGAATTTGGGACCAGAGAAAATCCCTCTTATATCCGGGTTTGGTCTATTTTATATACATTAACACAGGCTCTAATTTGGGACCAGAGAAAATCTCTCTTATATCCGGGTTTGGTCTATTTTATATACATTAACACAGGCTCTAATTTGGGACCAGAGAAAAATATCCGGTTTGGTCTATTTTTATATACATTAACACAGGCTCTAATTTGGGACCAGAGAAAATCTCTATATCCGGGTTTGGTCTATTTTATATACATTAACACAGGCTCTAATTTGGGACCAGATAAAATCTCTCTTATATCCGGGTTACACTGTATTAATTATCACTAACTTAAATTATTATTATAGTATTCTCATTGGTTTTCTCATCTTTTGTTTATACATGGCATTCAGATGTAGCATTAAACACATGAATACATGTGGTTATTTAACAAGAATGGTCAGCTCTATTTCAATGTGTGTTACTTGAAGGGTAATAACATTTCTAATAACTTAATAAATATAAATGATTAAAAGTTGAAACTTTGCAGATTAATAATTTGATATAGATTTTAAGTTGTGTAGCTTTTATCTTTGTAAATTAAATGTTAATCATATTTTATTTTCAGTGGGTATCCTCCCAATAGGAACATCATATCTTAATAATTTTCAATAAAAAGAGGTTTTTATTTTGTCTGAAACTGATTAATTAAACGAATAACTTCTAATAATTTGTCTGCTATAATTTAACTGTCTGAATCTGTTCATTTTACCAAATTTTAATTTTTATACATTTTGAAAGTTTTTCTTTCTTCACAAGCACTACAATCTAAAATAAACTCCTCACATCTCAATACAATCTCTCAGTTGATGTGCTACTGAATTGCCAGAGAGATCACCTGAATTAACAACTTTGGATTTCTTTCTGGGAGAAGAAGGACATGATGAATGATACAAAAAGAGACCCCATCCAAGAATGGAAAACCAGAATAAAAGAAAAATTTGCCACTATTGACTTTGAACTTTGTTAGAATGTGTGCAGATATATGTAGCTTGCAGACTGAATAAATGCATCAAAATAGGCAATGATCATTTTTTTTTTGTTTATTTATTATTTTTTTTTTTAATTGGTATCACCCCATGTAAGGCAATAAAGCCACTGAGACACAAGGGATTACAGGATGTGGAATAATTAGTAACAGAAACATTAATAATGAATGGGAAGTGGAAAGAGTAATCAGGAGGACAGTAGATAGCAATTGACATTGCATTTAAATTTTTGCAGAATAAAGTTGACTGAAAAGCATGGAGCTGGAAGGGAGTTCCACAAGTGAGAAGTGTGAGAAAAGAGACTGTTAGCATAGAATTTATAGCTACATCTAGCCAGCTCAACTATAAATTGATGAGATCTTGACACCAGTCTAGTACTGCGCTTAAATTAAGAAAGTTGAGGTACCATAGCGAAGAGCTCATCCAAACAATTACCATAAAAGTATTTATTGCAAAAAACACAGAGAGGCAACCTTACAGTAGTGTGAAAGTGACTGTAGCCGAGCTGCCAGATCAGGACCAATAATATTGCTGATTCTTCTTTGGATGTTATCAAAAAAGTCAAGGTAAATAGCAGGGGTACCAGATCATATGTAGTAGCAATATTCTAAGCATGGATGAATGATCCTTATGTGTAATGCAATGCATATATCTATTTTTATTTGATAAATAATTTGTTTATTGCATCAATAATTTCATTGGAGAGAAATTGGGTGTTACTTTTGGGATATTCTGTGTATTACATATACATTTATTATAAATAAATATAATATAGTATAAATTAATATAATATGGTTCACTCTTATAAATAATATAATAGCATCTAGTGTCTTTAGATGTGTACATGAAATAAACTTTAGAGTAAAGGGCTTTAAAAAATATGAAAATACTTTTGGTATAGATCAATATATAATAATAATAATAATATTGATATAGTGGAATCATGGCTGTTGGGTATGTTCATGAAATAAGCTTTGGTGTAAAGATCTGTAAGAAAAACAAAAATACTTTTCATATATTAAATTTTCTTACTACTTCAATATTTTCACTATTTTTACTTCATTTATTACAAAGTATTTCTTTCAATAATATATTTTCTTAATTCATTTCATACATTTTGAAAACTTATAAAAACACTAGATTTTATTGCATTGTAAACAATTTGTAGAAAAATTAGATTCTTGATTTTCAGTAGTTATTAATTACTAATTGTTGACATGATTGTGATATCATGGGTAGGACTTATTAAACAATGATTTAGTTCAGGTCACTCAAATGATTAGATTGTCACACAATATATTCAGTCAGTAGGAGAGAAACTGAAGCAAAAATCAAGGTTTATTTTACCCTGTGTTTGAACCAGGAATGATTTGGGTTTTTCGCATTACTGTTTTTACTGCTACTCCATATTGCTTTTATATAGCTTTAGTCATTTTTGGCATTTACAAAAATATTTCTGGTAGAAGAGAATAAAAAGAATGAGTAAACATTCAATTTTTGTAAGCTTATTTTTAACCTAAAATTTGTTCCAGAAATGTGGTATTTAGTCTGCATATTGTAGATAAACAAAAGCAATAAAAACTGCATGAGATTGACTAGGTTATACATCTGGATACATTGGGTGCCAAAAACTTAAAATTTTAAAGCTATGCAACCCTATAACTTCATATATATATATATATATATATATATATATATATATATATATATATTTTTCATTAATTAAAAATAGATAGTAGACAAAATGGCACAAAACATTTCATTCAATATTGAAAGAAATTTAATAAATTGCTTTATAATTATCATTTACTCAGCATCTGTATAGTTTTATATTCAGCATAGTTTGAATTTGAAATTGAATAAGAAAAAACAAAAGAAAAAAATGTAAAAACAAAATAAATATGAAGGACAAAAAATAATAAACAATCTATTCACTTAACACAATTTATTTTATTTAATATGCCTAAAACAAATATGATACTTGGTTTTAATAAAAATGAGCCTTTAATCTCCAGAGGTAAAATTACTTATAACTTGTGAAACTGAAAAAGAGAAATCTTCTTGAAAGGTAACTTGATATTAAAAAGTTAATTTATGACTGTTTTCAAGCTAAAAATATGTTAGCTATGTCCCTGTTAAGCAAAGATCAAAGGTGAAAAAGATTGTGACTCTTGGGTTACTCATAATTAAAATTTTTTTTTACATTATATCACATTGATATATGATCTCTTTTTTTGGCAGCAATAATAGTTTGTTCGAAAATACACTTCTAAGAAAAAAAATATGAACAGAATTTATTTCTATATTTCACCAGTTTTAAGTTAAGTCAAATTTAAATTCAATTTGTGAGTTATCTA